AGTAGAAAACTTGGTTGAAAAATTATAAACAAATTTTGGAGAGCTTGAACCTCGATAATACACAATATTGGTTTTGATATGCTGCCACAAATAAAATAATGCACTGATTCGACGCTACAATTCTGTGTAAAAGTAGATGGTTTGAGCGTGCAAATCTCAGAGTTTCTTGAAGAATAACATCAATTGTTTAAGTTATCTGAAAATGTAACGAAGAATTATAAATGTCTGATAATTGATCGCCTCCACTTTGAAGATTTCACCACTGTTTACTGAGATTATTAAACATAATAATAAAAATTCTAACATTTGATTAAAATAAACGTTTAGAAGTAGTTTGGCATCAGGTGCTCACTAAAAATAAAATTGACTTACATACAAATTTTTTTGTCAGATTCATTGCCACCTAAAAATAAATCCACTTTTTCAGAACCCTTCTTTAGCATTTGAAGCAGCTTGACCTCTGTGTAACCATAGATTTTGATAAATTTCTATTATTAATTTTAATGACACCAAGATACCTGTTCTTGTTCTCAAATCACAAAATTCAATATTAAGCCTCATTAAATTTGATATAAAAATATATAAAATTATCTAGAAGTGACTTCTTCTTTCTATCTTTTAAGGTACATTTGTCTTCACCTTATATAAAAAAAGAATAGAAAGAAAATCTAACATATTTAACAGCTATAAACAGGAAACTTTGTCAGATTGATCATATAGGAATTTATCCGTCTTGATTTAATCAATACTAATAATCTTCACTAATGGCCTAAGTAAGGTGAAAGCTATCCTCATGGATAGTCTGCCCAGTTCCTTGACTGCCAGGCCCCTAAAGTTGTACTGGTTTATTCGAAATGGGCATCAATAACTGACAAACGTCTTCGCTTTATTGCTGAAAACCCCTGCCCTCCACTTTCTTCATTGTGATCCCTTTTCTTCCCGTTTAGCAATAGATCCTTGATCCAGGCGACTTCTTTTTGCTGTTCTTGCTCCATTCTTGTTGTTCCCGAGTTTGCTTTGGCAGTAGGCAAATTTATTGCTAACTCTACCATTCTTCAATCTCCTGTTCATTAGATTTTTCTCCCTAAGGATGTTAATGACCTTCCTTATCTTCCGCTTCATTGTGTTGTCCCTGTATGGGGCCCTTTTTTCTGTCGACTTCCAATTGATCTCATGTCCAGTCTGTACGATGTGTTTCGCTAAAACTGATCTTTCAGTATCCATTTTCCTGCAGAGCCTCTGATATTCCTTGATTCGTATGAAAATTTTTCTACCTGGTTTGCGAATATATGTCTGTTTTATAATACCAAATTTACGCAATTTATCATCATGCCGTTTAGTTAGTAAGTCATAAATCCTACGTGATTTCCTGTCGGTGATAATCTGGAGTTTTTGAAAATCTTCCGGAGACAGGATCCTGGACAAAAATACGCCGGAGCTTTGACTTAATATCTTAAACTTAAACAATATACTCCGTTTTGTAAAATAGGTCTCACCTATTTTCTGAATAAAATAGGGGATCCGGATTGGAAGCCCGAATCGGATCAGCCGATTAAAAGAGAGGGGGTCCGGATGAATAGCAAGTGTGTTGAGGCCACACTAGATTTGCCACAAAAGTGCACACATTTTTGACGAGTGGGATGTAAACAAGTGAGAAGTTGTGATAGGGCGGCAGTGGGATAAGGGGGTAAAGTGTAGATAGATAAGACATAACAGAAAGAGGACTGAGAGTGTAACCGTTTTCAGTGGAACAGTTGTCGAGGGATTGACTATACTTGTCTCTTTGACGAGTTCGTAGCTTGGTGCGGAGAATAGCAAAACTCACTGATGATGCCGGCGAAAAGTTTGAGAATGTACCAAGTCCACTGAATGATGTTGGGAATCTTGACAGCTAATATTGCAGACTAGGTACGTTCTCATAATTCGCCCTGACAACAAGACCAATTTGTGACAACGAAGTCAACCCACTTCTATTGATCTTTAGTTTAAAACTCACTTATTAAAAAAATGCAAAATTTTAGAAGCTAGAAGGGATTTCAGAGCTTAATAGCCTTGACAAAAAAAAATATATATATATATATATATATATATATATAGCTCAAGTCGCATTCGCACACTTATATAGTTGTTTATTTATATTATGTGGGAGTATAGACATATAAAGGGACCCCACATGTATTTTCTCTATTTGTTGTTTTTTATTTCGCCTGTTAAAGGCTTAAAATCTAATTTTTATTTCCGAAGCATATACCAGTGGGCCTTGTGGGAAGAAAGTTTTTTTATCATGCCGTCATATCATCCTTAATTTTATTATGAGTGGTTTAGTATATATTTATTTATTTGCAATGTCATATATACATGCGGTAAGCAAAAACATAGGGCTTAGGGAAAACAAGAATGTTACACAAAATCATATCAGGTACAACTTGCTCAAATTGGAAGTTTTGAGTAAAGCTTTCGACATGAAATTTCATTTCAAATGTAAAGGGGGCTGGAAGGAATTCGTGAAATAGTTTCTCCTGAATCCGAAGGAAGATTTCTGCTGTTTCCGGTGAGAATATTTCATGAATTCTTTCCAATCAAATTTTCCTTCGAAATGGAAGTCATGCCACAAAATTTCACAAAGAAATTCTTCAAAACCCTAATTTAATTTATATCTTTGAATACTTTTATCTATAAAATGCCATTCTTTGCTAATGTGTATTGAACATGAAGGAATACGAATATTCATCTAACTAAAACTTGATTCTTTAGCTAAATCATGGATAAATGGATTAATTTGAATGGGTCTGATTTACGCGAAACACACTTCCATTAGCTTTTTTTAAGTAATTACTTTTGATTGTATTTTTGCTAGGTAAACCTGAAAAAACTTGTAAGGGCTTAAAAATTGTAACAAAAGTCTTATAACACAACATAAATGGTATAGGTAAATATGGGATGTGGCAAAGGTTTCCCTATATATACTGCGGTCTCAAAATATATTAATATAAGAGCTCTAGAATCCTTAAGAGGTTGGCTGTGTAAAATCCCGTTTAGGGTCATTTACATACTAATTTTATCTATAGACCAATTTCAGGTTTCAATACAGTCTTGCCGTTTATTCAAACTCTGAAAAAAAGCATAAAAAATTGGGTAACTTATTCTATCGTCAAAATGTAACCTAATATATAAGATACTATTTAATTTCCTTGACCTAAAGAGCACAAAAGTTTCCTCATAATCTTAAGGTTTACTAATCTAATTGTTAGTCCCCGTTGTAATAAGACGATTGGGTAGTTAATCACCATTCACCCCAAATGACACCATTTCATGTTTCCTTTCCTTGGAACCATGCTTGAAGTAGACGAAAAATTAGCATAAGTTATCTATGAAGGTAACGCCCAAGCAACAGAATCTTAGACATCATCACATATTATGTGCCATTTGCATGGATATTAATTTCTATATTCCCTCCCTCAAATTAGTCATATAATCCTTTTGTATCAATCGACTCAATAATGACTAGATTTAATAAATGCATTTTGTATGTGATTTCATGAGATCATATACTAGGCGATTTATCCTTTACTGATAAAACTGTTACTAAGCCTTTACAATTATTGCTCAGACGAATTGATGTAAAAGCGACAAAAGATAGAGTTCTGTATTTACTTTATCATTTACTTTATGAGAATTGGAATCAATTATGAAATTAATGTAATTAATTTAATATTTTCTACTAAATTTAGAGCCCCCTATCATAGTGGATAATTCACCGTATCAGGTCGTGGTTGATCCAGGCGACAATGTAACTCTTCAATGCCGCTGGTCAGGTCATACGAAAGCCCGAATATCATGGTATCGTGGTAGTTATCCATTGTCCTCTCTTGGTCAGAGCACAATTCACCTGTCAAGTACGCCTTCCTCACTTGGCATAACAGCAGCCATCCCTACCTCTGCACTGGCTACTCTGCCTTCGACCATAGCTTCTCTGCCCGTATCTGGCATCGAAATAACTCCCAACTTCACTCATCTCTCCGATGGTAAGAACATTATACGAGGAGTTCGATTGGATGGACTCGGAAAACGGCAGAGTATTCTTATCTTTACCAATGTGAGTCACGAGGATGCTGACACCTACACTTGTGTTGCCGAGAATCAAGCTGGTCGGGCAACAGCCAACATGAGTCTCATAGTAAAAGGTGAGCAATTGTATGAGCTAACAAATGCTTTGGCATTAAGTGTAGTGCAATTGCTTTTAAGCTATGGCCTACATGCTAACTTGTAGGCTATAATAACTGCCGCAAGAGTGTGGCAAATTACGGTGCCCTTAGGAGCCTATAGTAGAATGGCAGAGTTATTAATCAAATTAATAAGCACATACTGCAAAATGGCGACTTTTAAATCGTATTTTTAAAAGTCATCAAATTAGTACCCCTCTGCCAAATTATAATAGGGCTTATTTTTCTAATTTTTACCCCCCCTGACATATTTATAATACGTTTCAAGAATTAACATTATGACTTATTTTATGATCTTAACCAACCAATCCGAATGTT